TCGCCGGCTTTGTATTCATGTTACCTGATGAAATTGCTGTACGATATGATCTTGTTGCCATCTAATGCACATTCAAATGTCATAAATCAACCCTGCAGATCTCTCCCTGTCCTCTGCCGTGCCCTGATTGTATTACTGCTGATGATATCTGGGAATGTGCATGTACACCCTGGCCCATCTACTGTCGCTAGCCCCAATTCTGACTTGTACTCTGATATCTGCTTCACTGATTCCTGCTCTCGTAAAAAAAGCCTGGGTTTTCTGCACGTTAATACTAGAAGCGTATTACCTAAAATGGATCAATTGAAAGTGTGGGTTGCTTCAATCCAGATGTGTTGGTCATTACTGAGACATCGTTAAGAAAGAGTGTTTTTGAACACTGATGTTAACCTTTCTGGTTATAACCTTTTTCGGCAAGACCGATCTTCCAAAGGTGGTGGTGGCAATCTTCACCAAGGAACACCTTCAATGCTCGGTTGTCTCCACCAAGTCTGTCCCCAAACAATTTGATTTGCTGGTTTTAAGAATTAAACTTTCAAATAGCTCTTTGTTGACTGTTGCTGGGTGTTATCGTTCACCATCAGCACCGGCCTGTACCCTACCTGCCCTAACCTCTCTCCTGGCCCCTTACACAGCACCGGCCTGTACCCTACCTGCCCTAACCTCTCTCCTGGCCCCTTACACTACGTCTGAATATGTCCTGCTAGGTGACCTAAACTGGAACATGCTTAAACCACCTGACCAAGTCCTAAAGCAATGGGACTCCCTAAATCTTTCTCAGATGATTACCAATCCCACAAGGTATGACTCCAAACACCCAGAAAAGGCTACTCTCCTTGATGTTATCCTCACCAATAATCCTGACAGGTATCAGTCTGGTGTTTTCTGTAATGACCTTAGTGATCACTGTTTTACAGCCTGTGTTCGTAATGGCTGCTCAGTGAAACGACCTGTCCTGATTTGTCATAGACGCTTGCTAAAAAACTTTAATGAGCAAGCCTTCCTTCATGACCTGACCTCTGTAAATTGGTATAGACTCGGCTTGATCCCCTCTGTCGAAGACGCTTGGACCTTCTTTTTTATATTTTCAGTGGTATTGTTAACAAAAACGCCCCCATAAAGAAAATGAGAATTAAAAACAGGTTCAGCCCCTGGTTCGACCGTGATCTGGCAGAGTTACTCCACCTCAAGAATTCCATTTGGCGAAAGGCTCGGCTACCGCATACTCAGGCTGACTGGCTCTCGTTCAGGCAAATGAAAAATAAGTGCTCTCAGGCTATCCGGAAGGCCAAAGTTAGTTACTTTAAGGAGCAGTTCTCTCTCTGTGGGTCGAACCCCAAGAAGTTCTGGAAAACGGTTAAAGACCTGGAGAATAAACCCTCCTCCTCACAGCTGCCCATGTCCCTTAATGTTGATGATGTGGTTGTTACTGACAAGGAGCACATGGCTGAGCTCTTTAATCACCACTTCATTTAGTCAGGATTCCTATTTGACTCAGCCACGCCTCCTTGCCTGTCCAACATTTCCTCATCGTCCAGCCCTTCTAATGCGACTAGCCCCGATGCTCCTCCCTCTTTTTCCCCTGCCCCGCTACAAAGTTTCTCCCTGCAGGAGGTCACTGAGTCTGAGGTGCTAAAGGAGCTCCTTAAACTTGACACCAAAAAAACATCTGGGTCAGATGGTTTAGACCCTTTCTTCTTTAAGGTTGCAGCCCCTATCATCGCCAAGCCTGTCTCTGACCTTTTTAACCTGTCTCTCCTCTCTGGGGAGGTTCCCATTGCTTGGAAGGCTTTCTTGATGTCTATAGTATTCTCTCTGGTATGTAATTGGTTTCCGCTCAGGTTATGGATGTGTCACTGCAACCTTAAAGGTCCTAAATGATGTCACCATTGCCCTTGATTCTAAGCAATGTTCTGCTGCTATTTTTATTGACTTGGCCAAAGCTTTTGATACGGTAGACCATTCCATTCTTGTGGGCCGGCTAAGGAGTATTGGTGTCTCTGAGGGGTCTTTGGCCTGGTTTGCTAACTACCTCTCTCAAAGAGTGCAGTGTGTAAAGTCAGAACATCGGCTGTCTCAGCCACTGCCTGTCACCAAGGGAGTACCCCAAGGCTCCATCCTAGGCCCCACGCTCTTCTCAATTTACATCAACAACATAGCTCAGGCAGTAGGAAGCTCTCTCATTCACTTATATGCAGATGATACAGTCTTATATTCAGCTGGCCCCTCCCTGGATTTTGTGTTAAATGCTCTACAACAAAGCTTTCTTAGTGTCCAACAAGCTTTCTCTGCCCTTAACCTTGTTCTGAACACCTCCAAAACAAAGGTTATGTGGTTTGGTAAGAAGAATGCCCCTCTCCCCACCGGTGTGATTACTACCTCTGAGGGTTTAGAGCTTGAGGTAGTCACCTCATACAAGTCCTTGGGAGTACGGCTAGACGGTCCACTGTCCTTCTCTCAGCACATATCAAAGCTGCAGGCTAAGGTTAAATCTAGACTTGGTTTCCTCAATCGTAATCGCTCCTCTTTCACCCAAACGAACCATGTTGCTACCAGGCTGTGTTGTGGTGTCCTAATTTTTAATTTTTAAATTCCAGCCCCCGTCCCCTCAGGAGGCCTTTTGCCTTTTGGTAGGCCGTCATTGTAAATAAGAATTTGTTCTTAACTGACTTGCCTAGTTAAATAAAAATAAATAAACAAATAAATAAAAAGTGAGTTCAAGACAACTGGGAATTCGGATAAAGACGAGCTCCGACGTTAAAATACGTTTTGAACGGTCATCCAACTGGGAGTCGAAAGAGGCCTGAGTTCCCGACTTCTAGACCTCCGACCTGAAGATCACTGACGTCATCATGATTCGACTTTTTGTTTTTTTCCCCCAGTTGTCTTGCAAGCACCATAAATCCAGAGAATGCTTTGACTTTGATGACAAAGTTTGATTACAAAATTTGGCCACGAAGGACCACCGCGCCACCTACCTATTCAAGTGAGCACAGCACAACAAGGTGAGTCCAAAAATGTCTTGTATGCTACTGCATAAATGATGTAATATGCCAGGGAGATATGTATACTGAAGCTAAGAAAGTAATACTAAGTGTATGTTGTGTAGTAAGCTGTTATTAGCCCATGTGCCTCAAATTATAATTTGGTCCCTTTTCCCCTCATAACTTAGCCTACTGTTCTGACTTGGTGGTGCACATGTAGCCTATAACCTGTTTTAGAGAAATGTCATCATTGAATATTGTAAGAGCTTTCATTGTCTGCTTATATGGCCCCTTTATTTATCCTACGGTTCTGACTTGGTGTACAGGGAGAATACTGTAAGAACGGACCATGTTCTGAATTCTGTCGCTGTAAATTTAAAAGTGCTGAACAAATAGTCATATTGACTACGTCCGTCCTAGCTCGCTCATTAATGTCTTAATCGGAATTACGGATTTCCTCTTATCTCCTCGGCGTCCTCTTATGCCATAGTTTGTACATCTCAATTGTCAGTAGAAACCACATTTGTTTAAGCAAGTCGGCCATATCAGCTATGTTTTTTTAAGGCAGTAAATGAGGCTGAATGAACTGTTTCGCTGCCAGACAAGGCTCCGCTGATAGCCAGGTGTAACGGTGGTAAGGTGTTGGGACTCTGCTGTTGGGACTCTGCTGTTGGGACTCTGCTGTTGGGACTCTGCTGTTGGGACTCTGCTGTTGGGACAGCTTCATGTAGGCCCTAACAATTTGATTTTAATTGACTCAAATTATGTAAATTAGCCTATCAGAAGCTTCTAAAGCCATGACATCATTTTCTGGAATTTTCCAAGCTGTTTAAAGGCACAGTCAACTTAGTGTATGTAAACTTCTGACCCACTGGAATTGTGATACTGTGAATTATAAGTCTGTAAACAATTGTTGGAAAAATTACTTGTGTCATGCACAAAGTAGATGTCCTAACCGACTTGCCAAAACCATAGTTGGTTAACAAGATATTTGTGGAGTGGTTGAACAACGAGTTTTAATGACTCCAACCTAAATGTATGTAAACTTCCGACTTCAACTGTACATAGACTTGAAATCACTGGCCACTTTAATAATGGAACACTAGTCACTTTAATAATGTTTACATATTTTTGCTTTACTCATCTCATACAGTATGTAATAATAATAATAATAATGTATATACTGTATTCTATTCTACTGTATTTTAGTCAATGCCACTCCGACATTGCTCAAACTAATATTTATATATTTCTTAATTCCATTCTTTTACTTTTAGATTTGTGTGTATTGTTGAATTGTTAGGTATTACTGCACTGTTGGAGCTAGAAACACAAGCATTTCGCTACACCCACAATAACATCTGCTAAGTAAAAGTGAGCCGGGGCGGCAGGTAGCTTAGTGGGTAAGAGCGTTGTGCCAGTAACCGAAAGGTCGCTGGTTTTAATCCCCGAGCCGACTAGGTGAAAAATCTGTCGATGTGCCCTTGAGCAAGGCACTTAACCCTAATTGCTCCTGTAAGTCGCTCTGGATAAGAGCGTCTGCTAAATGACTAAAATGTAAATGTAAATGTAAACATGTGTAGGTGTCCCAAAAAATGTGATTTGATGAAATGTTTAAAAAATTTAAAACATATTGAAAGCTGAAAAAAAAGTGTACGGTTATTTTAGTCTCTACTTAATGCATGTGAAATAAAAATATCTAAATTAACATTTTATCTTTAAAATCCAACCCTGAGACACAAAAAGGTCCGTATTTGCAAAATCACCCACTCATCAACCATCAGTGAGGCTAATTGGAGCCTCATGTAGCTTTCAGCTTGCTTGTGAATACAGTTGTATGCCACATTTGAAATTCTGTGTTACCCTGTTGGGTAATTATATTATTTTGCATCCTGTGGTGGATACAAGAACGTCCCAGGGACTCATCTGGACTACGTTGAGTTATCCCACTCTGTTGTCCAAACGACCTCTTTGGTACAGCCTCTCCCATAGGTCATTTGGCGATCCGCTACGAGAATGTTGGGTTACGGATGTATCCTTGATTCTCTGAGTAGAGTAACGGGTCGCCAACCTTTCATGTCTTTCCGCCGTGGAGTTCGAGTGAAGTAACAGACAGTAAACATGTCTGTAAACCAGTGGAGGCTGCTGAGGGGAGGACGGCTCGTAATAATGTCTGGAACGGAGCAAATGGAATGGCATCAAACATATGTGTTTGATGGATTTAATACCATTCCTTTATCCCACTCCAGCCATTACCACGAGCCGTCCTCCCCAATTAAGGTGCCACCAACTTCCTGTGCTGTAAACATTTTTGATATTAAGCATCTCAATCACATTGCGTGAAGAGAAGGAGTTTCTATTCCTCGTTTGGCGACCGGTTACTCTACTCAGAGAACTAAGGTTACATCCGTAACCCCAACGTTATGTGGAGTGGACTTCTTGCACAGCGTTGGTTTGACACGTTGCACAGCCCCATTTAGTTCCTTATACTTTTGGACTTGTAGTTTTTGAGACACCGGCTCGCCGTTGAGTGAAGTAACAACGACTACCGTTCATCACTACAATTCCCAGCCTGCACCACAGTGGTTGGAGTTTGCGCAGTGTGTTCCTGTGTGAGCGAGCGGCGTGGAGTGAACGGTCTGGTATGTCTGCATGAATCAATGAAACAAACAATATTTTTTTTTAGAATTCAGAGTTTGTTAGTTCATCAAATCGCAGTACTGTAATGCATGGGTGTTACGAATATTGCAGTTGTGTATTTGTTGAGTTAGAAACGTAGCTAGATACGCTATCACTTTCCTAGTTGAATGACACGGCCATCTAACTGTCAGTTAGCCGGCTAACTTTAGCTAGCTGTCACCAATAACATAAACCTGCCTACGGTAGAGAATATTTTGTTCAACCCTTGGTGAACTAACTAGCTCAGCGATAACTCCTTTAAAACAGCCAGCTATAGCTTTTCTCACTAGTAAACTATGTCGGTTTGTTAGCTAGCCCTCTGTAGAAGCATAGCTAGCCAGCTAGCCCTGTGGATTGTTGGTGGCATATGATGCTAGCTTTCATCAGCTAACTACTCAGACGCGCCATATGCTTTCTGGATATATCTGATATCGGGGCTATCAACTTGTTATGCATAGTAGCTGTCTGCATGTTCGTCCGGAGCATGGAAGTCCCCCTCTCTCCTCTGCCGCAGTCAGGGCTGCGTCCCGACGGCCTATATAAAAGTAGCGCACTACATAGGGGAATAGGGTGGCATTTGGGACGAAATCTATCTCCATAGGTTTGTCTGGCAGGGTTTGTAGAGAGAGACACGTCATATAGATTGCAATGGACTGTAGGAGAGAGTCCGTCTGCTGAAGTTATGCAACAAGTAGTAACAGCGCCTATGGAACTCATTATGTCCAAAATGGCACCCTATTCCCTATAATATAGTGCACTAACCCTATGGGCCCTGCAGGGCTCTACGCTGACCCTTTTTTACAAGGGGTAAAGTGTGCGCTTAAGTTTAAAAAAAGTAGGCGCACACGAAGAACATTTAGGAGCACAACAAAAAAATATTTGAGATATTAAAGCTAGAATCGTTAATTTTTTCAAGGAGCACTGGTGTTCCTAAATGAAAATTACAAGCAAAATATTTAGCCGCATACAGTAAAATGGTCGCACTGTAGAGCCCTGCCCAGGTCAAAAGTAGTGCTCATTCACTGTTCCTCTCGCTGTACTGAACTCTGCAGAACAAGATAGTCTACTAGCCTGGTCTCAGATATGTTTGTGCTGTTGCTGTCATTGTCATACCAAACGTGACAAGGAGTTAGCATGATAGCACAACACAGGCACTCAGGGCTTATAGTTGGATAAGTTTTGTATGAAAAATAATTCATTATATTTTAGACTGTAGCGAATTCAGGAACTCAAACCCAAATCCAGTGACTGTCAGCCCAACGCCCTAGCTGCTACGCCAAGATATCCTCTTTATGGGGTCGCTAGGTGTTGGGCAAAGGTCGCTACATTATGAACCGCTGGTCTTCGGTAAAACGGAAACAAAGTCACTGATCATGTATGTGTTATCATCACGTTCTCTTTAATGTCCTGTGTTGTGATGTGGCAGGTCGTCACCATGGATCCGGCCTGGCGTCAGCAGGGTCGGGGTCGTGGCCGGGGTCAGCCGCAGGGTCAAGGGTCGCGACCTCAGAGAGAGAGGGCAGCAGAATCCCCTAACACTCCTAGTGGGAGGGGGAGAGGAGGAGATGGGAAGGACCCACAGCTACAGCCTGTTAACAGAGGGAAGAACATGGCAGCCCCTCCACAAAACAGTGAGCGAGAGAGAGTGTCTGTCTGTCAGTGTGCTTGCTGACTGACTGATTGACTGACTGACTGATTGATTATCTATTGATTGATTATCTGTATTGATTGATCAACTGACTGACTGATTACGTGATTGATTGATTACTTGTATTGATTTATTGACAGCTGCGTCGAGCCAATCCAAGTTTGAGGAGATCAGGAAGTCCAACCAGGCTGCTGCTCAGCGATTGGCTCAGAGCCAGTACAGCTCCTCCTCAGACGACGATGATGATGATGATGATGGTGGGAAGGTCCAGGGGAAGGACGGTAAACGAGGGAAGATTCTGGCCTCGACGCTCACCACCTACACTGACCAGACTGGTGAGATGACACGCATCTGTTAAACCAATAGAACGTCGTCTTTTTGGAAGACCCTCTGTCTGACAGTCAGCCTGTTAAACCATTAGAGATGACACACACACACTGATGTGTGGTTAGTGCTTGTGTCTGATCCCTGTTGATCACACAGTCCCAGCCTGTTAAACCATTAGAACGTCGTCTTTCTGGAAGACCCTCTGTCTGACAGTCAGCCTGTTAAACCATTAGAACGTCGTCTTTCTGGACGTTTCTGGATAGCTATGTCTGGGGATGGCCTATGTCTGGGGATGGCCTATGTCTGGGGATGGCCTATGTCTGGGGATGGCCTATGCCTGGGGATGGCCTATGCCTGGGGATGGCCTATGCCTGGGGATGGCCTATGCCTGGGGATGGCCTATGCCTGGGGATGGCCTATGCCTGGGGATGGCCTATGCCTGGGGATGGCCTATGTCTGGGGATGGCCTATGTCTGGGGATGGCCTATGCCTGGGGATGGCCTATGTCTGGGGATGGCCTATGTCTGGGGATGGCCTATGTCTGGGGATGGCCTATGTCTGGGGATGGCCTATGTCTGGGGATGGCCTATGCCTGGGGATGGCCTATGTCTGGGGATGGCCTATGTCTGGGGATGGCCTATGTCTGGGGATGGCCTATGTCTGGGGATGGCCTATGCCTGGGGATGGCCTATGCCTGGGGATGGCCTATGCCTGGGGATGGCCTATGCCTGGGGATGGCCTATGTCTGGGGATGGCCTATGTCTGGGGATGGCCTACAGTTGAAGTCGGAAGTTTACAAACACTTAGGTTGGAGTCATTAAAACTTGTTTTTCAACCACTCCACAAAATATCTTGTTAAAAAACTATAGTTTTGGCAAGTCGGTTAGGATATCTACTTTTTGCATGACACAAGTCATTTTTCCAACAATTGTTTACAGACAGATTATTTAACTTATAATTCACTGTATCACAATTCCAGTGGGTTAGAAGTTTACATACATTAAGTTGACTGTGCCTTTAAACAGCTTGGAAAATTCCAGAAAATGATGTCATGGCTTTAGAAGCTTCTGATTGGCTAATTGACATCATTTCAGTCAATTGGATGTATTTCAAGGCCTACCTTCAAACTCAGTGCCTATTTGTTGACATCATGGGAAAATCAAAAGAAATCAGCCAAGACCTCAGAAAAAAGTCTGGTTCATCCTTGGGAGCAATTTCCAAACGCCTGAAGGTACCACATTCATCTGTACAAACAATAGTACGCAAGTATAAACACCATGGGACCACGCAGCTGTCATACCGCTCAGGAAGGAGACGCGTTCTGTCTCCTAGAACAACAGCAAAGGACCTTGTGAAGATGCTGGAGGAAACGGGTACAAAAGTATCTATATCCACAGTAAAACGAGTCCTATATTGACATAACCTGAAAGGCCGCTCAGCAAGGAAGAAGCCACTGCTCCAAAACCGCCATAAAAAAGCCAGACTACGGTTTGCAACTGCACATGGGGACAAAGATCATACTTTTTGGAGAAATGTCCTCTGGTCTGATTAAACAAAAGTAGAACTGTTTGGCCACAATGACCATCGTTATTGGAGGAAAAAGGGGGTACTTGCAAGCCGAAGAACACCATCCCAACCATGAAGCACGGGGGTGGCAGCATCATGCTGTGGGGGTGCTTTGCTGCAGGAGGGACTGGTGCACTTCACAAAATAGATGGCATCATGAGGAAGGAAAAATATGTGGATATATTGAAGCAACATCTCAAGACATCAGTCAGGAAGTTAAAGCTTGGTCATAAATGGGTCTTCCAAATGGACAATGACCCCAAGCATACTTCCAAAGTTGTGGCAAAATGGCTTAAGGACAACAAAGTCAAGGTATTGGAGTGTCCATCACAAAGCCCTGACCTCAATCCTATAGAAAATGTGTGGGCAGAACTGAAAAAGCATGTGCGAGCAAGGAGGCCTACAAACCTGACTCAGTTACACCAGCTCTGTCAGGAGGAATGGGCCAAAATTCACCCAACTTATTGTGGGAAGCTTGTGGAAGGCTATTCGAAACATGTGACCCAAGTTAAACAATTTAAAGGCAATGCTACCTAATACTAATTGAGTGTATGTAAACTTCTGACCCACTGGGAATGTGATGAAATAAATAAAACCTGAAATAAATCATTCTCTCTACTATTATTCTGACATTTCACATTTTTAAAATAAAGTGGTGATCCTAACTGACCTTAGACAGGGAATTCTTACTAGGATTAAATGTCAGGAATTGTGAAAAACTGAGTTTAAATGTATTTGGCTTAGGTGTATGTAAACTTCCGACTTGGCTGGGGGTGGCCTGTGTCTGGGGATGTAAATGGGACATAGGAATGATTTGAGCGGTTCCATCATATTTTAGTTGTATCATTAAATGCTTTCAATATCTGCATTTTCTACAATTTCTATAGCTAGAGGTTTTTAAGTCATTGAAATGTAGAGCTGTTGACATTTTTACATGTTATCCCGTTGTGTAATTTCCTGATGGTCCCTAACTAGCCCCGTAAGGATATGGTATGTCAAACCAAATTGAACAGGGGCATTATGATCCTGCAGTTGCGCTCCGAATTGATGATTACTGGCAGCTGTGGGTAAGATTTTAAACTGTTAGCGTACCCTTCATTCCGTGACATACAAAAAAAAATTGGGACGAGACTGACTTTACCACCAAAATTATCCTATTTACACTTTGTAGTAAATGTTGACACAATAATACATGTTTGTGACTCATTGATGCCACGTAGACCGTTTTCAAAAGGAGAAGTTGCTTTTTAGGGTCTGTCGCTCTTTCTGAAAGGCCCTTTGTCTCACAGTAGTAATCACAGCTATCAGGCTGATGATGTTACACTCACATACACATATCAGACCCCCTGATATCTTATACACTGTCAGACCCCCTGATATCTTATACACTGTCAGACCCCCTGATATCTTATACACTGTCAGACCCCCTGATATCTTATACACTGTCAGACCCCCTGATATCTTATACTGTCAGACCCCCTGATATCTTATACACTGTCAGACCCCCTGATATCTTATACACTGTCAGACCCCCTGATATCTTATACACTGTCAGAACCCCCTGATATCTTATACACTGTCAGACCCCCTGATATCTTATACACTGTCAGACCCCCTGATATCTTATACACTGTCAGACCCCCTGATATCTTATACACTGTCAGACCCCCTGATATCTTATACACTGTCAGACCCCCCTGATATCTTACTGTCAGACCCCCCTGATATCTTATACTGTCAGACCCCCTGATATCTTATAGCTGTCAGACCCCCTGATATCTTATACGCTGTCAGACCCCCTGATATCTTATACACTGTCAGACCCCCTGATATCTTATACATTGTCAGACCCCCTGATATCTTATACACTGTCAGACCCCCTGATATCTTATACACTGTCAGACCCCCTGATGTCTTATACACTGTCAGACCCCCTGATATCTTATACACTGTCAGACCCCCTGATATCTTATACGCTGTCAGACCCCCTGATATCTTATACACTGTCAGACCCCCTGATATCTTATACACTGTCAGACCCCCTGATATCTTATACACTGTCAGACCCCCTGATATCTTATACACTGTCAGACCCCCCTGATATCTTATACTGTCAGACCCCCTGATATCTTATAGCTGTCAGACCCCCTGATATCTTATACGCTGTCAGACCCCCTGATATCTTATACACTGTCAGACCCCCTGATATCTTATACACTGTCAGACCCCCTGATATCTTATACACTGTCAGACCCCCTGATATCTTATACACTGTCAGACCCCCTGATGTCTTATACACTGTCAGACCCCCTGATATCTTATACATGTCAGACCCCTGATTCTTATACTGTCGACCCCCCTGATTCTTATACACGTCAGACCCCCTGATATCTTATACACTGTCAGACCCCCTGATGTCTTATACTTCGGGAACCCCCTGATATCTTATACACTGTCAACCCCCTGATTCTTATACGCTGTCAGACCCCCTGATGTCTTATACACTGTCAAGACCCCCTGATATCTTAAACACTGTCAGACCCCCTGATATCTTATAAAAACTGTCGCCCCCCCTGATATCTTATACTGTCAACCCCCTGATATCTTATACACTGTCAGACCCCCTGATATTTTATACACTGTCAACCACCCCTGATATCTTATACCTGTCAACCCCCTGATGTTTTATACACTGTCAACCCCCTGATATCTTATACACTGTCAGACCCCCCTGATATCTTATACACTGTCAGACCCCCTGATATCTTATACACTGTCAGACCCCCCTGATGTCTTATACACTGTCAAAACCCCCTGATATCTTATACACTGTCAGACCCCCTATATCTTTACACTGTCAGACCCCCTGATGCCCTTATACACTGTCAGACCCCCTGATGTCTTATACACTGTCAGACCCCCTGATATCTTATACACTGTCAGACCCCTGATATCTTATACACTGTTCAGACCCCCTGATGTCTTATACTGTCAGACCCCCTGATATCTTTACAACTGTCAGACCCCCTGATTTTCTTATACACCTGGTCAGACCCCCTGATATCTTAAAACACTGTCAGACCCCCTGATGTCTTAAAACTGTCAGACCCCCTGATATCTTATACACTGTCAGACCCCCTGATATCTTATACACTGTCAGCCCCCCTGATATCTTATACCTGTAAAACCCCCCTGATATCTTATACACTGTCAGACCCCCTGATATCTTATACACTGTCAGACCCCCTGATATCTTATACCTGTCAGACCCCTGATATCTTATACACTGTCAGACCCCCTGATTCTTATACACTGTCAGACCCCCTGATATCTTATACACTGTCAGACCCCCTGATTCTTATAAAAACGGGTCAAACCCCCTGATATTTAAACCCCTGTCAACCCCCTGATATCTTATCAACGGTGCCCCCCTGATATCTTATAAAACTGTCAGAACCCTCTGAT